AAATTAAGCTACTCCTCTCCCCCATGCCCCCTCTCCTCCCTTCTCCAAGCTAGGAGATGAATAGTTTCTGGGATCTGCTCTACCCCTTGTGATCTAGTATTGGACAGGAAGTTCAGGGAAGTTGAGCTGGGAGACTTGGATGCAACTGTTCAGGAACATGATGGTTGTAATTATTTGGGCAAAAAGTAAAGCAATGTTTTGCTGGGCAGTGTATATTTGTTCTATCTGGATTTATTATTGAAAAAAGTGTGTTTAATACTACTTTAAATTGTTTGTGGCCTTTAGAAATTGAAGATGTGCACCATTATTATTTGTGCTTTATGGGACAGGAGTCTACATTTTCAAGAAATAATCATTAAAGAAAAATATGAAGCTGATGATTTTAATTAAGCCAATAAGCAAAAAAAAAAAAATACTGCGCCAACTATGACTGAATGTGCCGAGCTAAATAAAAAAGTGTGTACTACACTAATGTGTGATTCCTAATAAATCATCAAAAAAGGCATGGAACGCTGAATTAATAAATCCATGACATAGATCATGAATATTAGTGGAAGACGAATCAGTTCATGAATCAAAATATACATATATATGTGAAAGGGCATATATGTAAAAATATGCAAGAAAGAGTAGTGACAAAGTTCACTTGTTCCTTCACTAAATATTCTACCATTATTCATCATCTATGTCACGGATTTATCCACTTCGTTTTTCATGCATTTTTTGATTATTTATTAGAATTCACACATTAGTGTGGTACACACTTTCTTTATTCAGCTCTGCACATTCAGTCATATTGATGATTTTAATTATTGTCTTCAGTTTTATCTTTCTGGTGTTTACCTTTTTTAATGTTTGGAAATCAAGTATAACATGATGGGGAGTATGCATTAGCAGAGTATAAGTAAATGTATAAGGCCATTCCCTATTTTATGATGTGTATAGGATGACTCTCACTTTTTTAAATATCTAAATGGCTATATAAAAGATAAAATTATAACGAAAGACCTATAAATACTTCTAATGTCTGCAGCACCACATGGGCATGGGCTGATGCCAATTCGTCACTGTTTTCTGTGCTGTGGAATATACTGATGATATATACAGAATAATTAACAAGAAGCCATTTTTTTTACTATATAACATGTCAGCAAAAATGTGTGGATTGAACTGGTCATACTAAGAAAACTAATGCAAAGGCCACCTACTGCCAAGAATGCATGTATGGACAACATTTGATGTTTATAAGGCAGAAGTGGGGTTCTTAGGTTGTAAACTCCACTAAAGCAAGGGCTGAAGTGCTGCAGTATGTGTTAGTGTAATAAATATACTAATATGTAATACCTGCTGCTCCTCCCGCCATGCAGCAGCTCTCTCCTCCTTGCTGGGAGCCTGCTACATGCTGCAGCTTGTGTCCCCTCCATTCCCCGTTACTCTCCCTGCCTACATTGGCAGAAGCAGTGAGGATTGGAGGGGGCACAGACCCCAGCGTGCAGCCAACACCCAGCAGGGAGGAGAGATAATCTGTGACAGCCCAATCAGGATGCTGAGTGGGGCAGATGCCAAGTGGACTTAAGGTTGCCCAGTAAGAAAACAGATTGAGGACTTTGTGTCCCCCATCTCTTTTTCTATCTCAAAAGGGAAATATCAGAGGTCTGTTTAGAGCCTTGATATTTTCTAAAAGCCCCCCAACAATAATGTAAAAAAAATAATACAAATGTTTAAAAAGAATACAAAAATAGTTAAAAAATAAATTAGACTAGAAATAAAGTCCACACACACATAACATGCATGCACACCATAATATGGTGTCCATTATTTACATGTGCTACTGTGTATTGTTAGAACACATCACAGTGCTTCACATTTTCTTTTACTTTTTAAAATAAGACTAATTCAACTGTGTGGTGGCGCATAGCAAGTGCTGTGATGCATTGATGTGCATTGTAATATGCTGCACTGTATGCCTGCATCGGTTTATCACAAGACACACCAATACAATGCACTAACTGCACTGCGGATCAGATGTTACCAGAACACATAGATGAGGCCAACCTCCAGATTTTTAGCAGAAGTTGTTTATTTACAGTTCTGCGTACCTTCGTTTTTTACCATTTCGCAAAAAAGCCGCAATTTAGAATTTACAAATATTTATTTAATAACTCGGTACAGTTTTTATCTTTTAGAGTTAGTAGGAGTCTTGTAAATTATGTTTTTCTGTGTGCACTAATAAGGATTATAGTGTATTTTAATAAAAATTGGTTTGATAAACATTGTCGCAGAACCGACAAAATTAGTAGCACAGGCTTTTTATTCTACTGGTCATGTGATTTCAGAAAATGTATAGTTTGTGGGGCTTTTTACAAACTCTGAAAGCTGCAATTGACATTTTTTTTTAAAAAGTAAAAAATTGCAAAAATGGTCTGGCCAGCTAAGGTCAAAAGTGTTCAACAGGTCCTAGCAGCAAAAGGGTTAATGTTTTTCTTGTTGTTTTGT